TTTTTGAAATGTAACTCATGAAGTGAATAAAGATTAACCAAAAGATGTAGTTGGATTCCAAAAGTCATTTGATAAAATGCAAAACATACAATGTTAATATCAAAGATAAAAGTTCAAGGAGTTGGGGAAGAATGGTTGGAGGATTGGAAACATCGAATGAAGGATGGAATGTATGACTTTAAAATGGGAACAGAATCACAACTGCATGCCTTGGTCCAACTGTTTCTGTCCTTGAATCTTCCTTTGCCGGAAGATAACATTTTCCTAATATGGTCAGTTAGTATATATTTCTGATCTCTCATTACTCTCAGGGGAATTCAGTGTCACACATTTGATCTTTTCTTTCCATTTTAATCAGTTTTCAGATTCAAACTATTGAAGCACTCTCTATATTATTTTGCTTTATGTCTGTTTATTGACAAAATTGAAAAGTAGCAATAAAACACTTTGATGAAAGATCATCAACCTGAAACATCAACCATACTTCTTTCTCCACATATGCTGCCAAAACTGCTAGATATTTCCAGAATTTTTCCTTCTTCTGCTTCTTTTTATGTCTGTTTTGCTGGTTCTTCACTCCTCCCATCACAGGTTTCACCTCATCTCTGAAGGTGTGAGGTATTTTGATGAGGGTTGGCCCTCCATTCCCAGCAATTCACCAGTGATTGTTATTTTTACTTTTCAGCTTGCAGAGATGAGAGCTGGCAGCTAACCTTAAGCCTGGAAAGCACCACAGCTGATCTCAATCCTTCACCCACTTTGATTTCCAGCACTTAGAATTGGAACTATGGTTAATAGTCTATCCACTTTCTATCATTGCCTCCCCTTCTCTCTATTTATTTCAGAGCCCCCTTCCCCTCCCCCATTTCTGAAGAAGGGTCTCGGCCCGAAATGTCAGCCTTCCTGCTCCTCTGATGCTGCTTGGCCTGCTGTGTTCATCCAGCTCCACACCTTGTTGTCTCAGACTCCAGCATCGGCAGTTCCTACTATCTCTTAATATTCCCTTTCCTTGTATGGGTCTGTAGTAATGACTACACTGAGATCAGTTATCTGAACACAAAGCTCAACCTGCCTAGATTCTTTGGCTCACATGCTGTATTTACACACTAAAACTCTGAAGAAGCTTCACTGGCATAAACCTTCACTACTGCCTGGTTTGTTGTTGATTGATTTACCCTTTTGAAGAACCACTTGGAATCTGTGAGATCACCTGTTAGTACCAACAGCAAGTAAGTGAAAAAGTACATCAGCCCCTCTGGCTCTCCGGCTTAATCACTGCTCGGTTAAGAAGTGCACACCACATTCTGTGACTGCAGCTTTGAGTGACTGTCAGAATGAATTTTCCTCATAGTTACCATGGCAATTTGCCACAATATCTAATCTGACATATAACAATGAGGAATTGAAGAATTACAAAGCTGTCCAACTTTCACATATGGAAAATAAATAATTTTAATATACACCTTGCAAAAAATTACAACGTAGCATACAAAATATTATAGATTTGGCATTGTTACAAACCTCTTCCGTGATAGGTCCTTTTCATAACATTCAACATTTAATTTATTACCTAATGCAAATATTATTCTTTTTTGTAAGTGACAAATTTCCTCATGAAATCCATGACATTTCATAGAAAGCTGGGCTTGCTTCTTTCAGGTTTTCATAGAACTCTGCTAAAGGGTCCCTTTGAATATTGATCACTGAACAAGACTGGCTCTTTGACAGTCTGTTATAGGAGGCTGTAGTTTTTTTTCTACTTGAGTTTGATCACTTGCATTTCCCACACTCACACTAGATTAGACAAAAAGGTGTACTCATATCACAATTATTACAATTGCTGCATGTCTCAAAGCACTTTGGAGATAATGAAGTGCTTTGGACATGCAGACACTGCTGGAATGTAGCAAATGTAACAGTCAATTTGTGCGCAGAAACCTCTCAGAAACAGCAAAATGGTAATGACCTAGTGATCTGTTTGGGAATAAAAGTCAGCCAGAAAATCAGGAATAACAAGCATGTACTTCTTCTGATTGCCAGTGAATTACTCCTTTACTGACACCAGTTTGAAGAGAGTGCCAAGTCAATGGAATCTTCAGGCTTTCGCAATATTGATAAAACATGAATGATCAGATACTTTAGAGACTTTTAAGTGACTCTTGGATAGGCACATGGATGATAGAATAATGTAGGGTATGCAGGGTAGTTTGATCTTAGTAGGATAATAGGTTGGCACGACATCATGGGCCGAAGGGCCTGTACTGTGCTGTATTGTTTCTATGTTCTATGTTCTTTTGATCAAATTTTTAAATCCAATATCTGATTTTAATGTGTGGGACCTTAATTGACTAAAAAGGTTTTATAGAAATTAAAAAATAGGTGCAGGGGTAGGCCATTCAGCCCTTCAGGCTAACTCTATCCATTGTGACCACAGCTACTCATCAAGGCAATAGTCTGTTTCTGTTTTCCCCCATATTCTCTGATTCTTTTAGGTCTCTCCAACTCCTTCTTGAAATCATTCAATGGCTCCCGATTTAAAATGGTCACAACTATCAGCTAGCCATATGGAACAAATGGATTCATGTGAACTAAAATAAACATTCATTGTCACAAAGCAGGAACTAGTCTACTTAGTCAGGAGTAAGGAAAGCCTCATTTCCTATTTTGATTAACATTTGCATGATATGTTTCATGTGTTGGAGATGAAAACCATCACTTACAATCATCAATCTTGGAAACAAGAAATTCAAACATCAGAAAATGCAAACCAGTTCTATTTCAAAGGGCTGCTTTTGGCAGACTGGAGGAAATGGTTTTGTGACTGGAATGAATTAAAAAGACTTTTCTCTATAAGCCTCTTGAAAGCAAAAGCACCTGTTGACATCATAGAAAGATTGAAACATAGACAATAAGAGCAGGAGCAAGATATTTGACCATTCGAGACTGCTCCATCATTCATTATGATCATGGCTGATCATTGAGCTCAATACCCTAATCCCACCCTCCCCCATATCCCTTGATCCCTCTAGCCATAAGAGCTATATCCACCGCTCTCTTGAAATCACAGAATGTCTTTGCCTCTATCACTTTTGTGCTAGTCAGTTCCAAAGGCACACCACTCTCTGTGTGAAGCATTTTCAGTCCAAATACGTTTGTTCCTTATCCTTAAACTATGACCCCTGGTTCTGGACTCCTCCACCATCGGGACCATCCTTCCTGCAGCCAACATGTTTAGCCCTGGTAGAATTTTATAGGTCGCTATGAGATCTCCGCTCCCCCCCTCCCATTTTTCGACACTCCAGTGAATACATTCCCAACCAACTCAATCTGTCCTCAAACATCAGTCCTGAGACCCCAGGAATGAGTTTGGTAAAACCTTTGCTACACTCCCTCCATAGCAAGAACATCCTTCTTCAGATAAGGAGACGAATATTGCACAAATTATTTCATGTGTAGCCTTACCAATGCCCTGTATAATTGCAGTAAGCCATTCCTGTTCTTGTACTCTAATTTATTTCCATGAAGGCCAACATACAGTTTTCTTCTCTATTCTCTGCTGCACCTGTGCGCTTACTTAGAGTAAATGGTGCCCAATGACACCAGTTTTGTTGAACATGCCCCTTTCTCAATTTACAACCATTCAAATAATAACCTGTCTTCCTATTTTTGACACTGAAATGGATAACCTCACAGCTATCCACATTACACTGTATTTTCCACACATTTACCACTCACTCAGCATATCCAAATCACACTGGAATATCTCTGCAACCTCCTCACAGCTCATTCCTCCACACAGCTTTGAGGCATCTGTAAATTTGAAGATGGTACACTTAATTTCTTCAACAAAATCATTAGGATATATTGTGAACCATTGGGGTCCTCGTACCGAGTCCTGCATTACCCCAATAGTCCCTGCAGTAGAAGACTCATTTGCTCCGAGATTTTGTTTCCTGTCTGCTAACCAATTTCTATTCATCTCAATACACTACCTCCAAACCCCCTACAACACAAACTGAAAAGAAATATCAGAACACTGAAAGCGTAAAGGACAACTGAAATATTTGTGACTGTTAAGGATATTTGGCCTACTTGTCAACTATTGCGGTCTCACATTAAAACCCGTCTTAAGGGCTTTCTAAAGACTTTAAACTGTACATTTCTTTCAAATTCCCTTTGTGACAGACACTACCTGTTTTTATTGTTATATCTGCATGTATACATGCTTGACATTACATCTTCATTTTTTCCTTAGAATTAGCAGATAATAAAATTGCTCTTCCTTTCATTCAAAGAAAAAATGCCAAAAAAATTGTGTACTAGTTAACTACATTTTAACGGGAAAGAGATATAGCCCCACGCTAAAAGTAACAAAACTCTTTGTTGTGGCCAGTTGAGGAGACTGACAAAATGGGGAGCTGATTCAGCCCCTCCTTAAATGATCTTAATACAAAATGCAGCAACAATGAAGCCAGCAAGACAGGTAATCAGCCAATCGCACTGAATTTGTCTCTTAGGTAGCAAACCAAACAGAAAAATCTTTCAATTTCTAAACTCACTTTGCAGACATCAAGATAAAGAACGGGACATACATATATGCATCTCACCCGTGGGAGCTAGCCTGCTGATGTGTCCAGTTATCAGTGAGAAACTAAATTACACACTGATAATATAATGTTCCTTTAAATAAATTAAGACTTTATAGTGTCAGCCCTGTTAGCTTCTTTGACTATTTATGAACTTTCTGGCTTTCTTGCCACCTCCCTATTGATGTTAAGACTTCATTTGCAACATTAACATGTTCTGCATGCTTGCATGCTAAACCGTCCAGTGACTCCTTTCCACAACATCTGAAGGGCAAAGGTATTGATCGCTCTCTTTTGATGAGCATTGATATTCTCATATATCTATTGTGATAGATTACTCAAACAGATTTTCATGTTATGTGCTCAAATGCAGTGCCTGAAGGATAAAAGGAAAGATAGATCACTCCGACTTACTTGTGAAAGTGATGTTAAATCCTCGAGCAGCTGTGGAGTGGTCTGTAAGGAATTCTAAACGTGATACATGGCCACTGCTGGTCAAAGGAGAAGGGATTTTGTTTCCCGAGAAAGTTCCCAAGACAGGCGATTCAGGATTCAACCCATCTTTCACAGATACAAAGTCAAACTGTGGCTCAACGTCAAAATCATTGAAGGCCAGATGAATCCTGCTTTCTGGCTTTGCGATAATCAGCCATACACAATGCATATGGTTGCCGTAATCCTCTGGGTAGTTGGGGGATAGCAGAATGCCAGATGGAGTTGTAAAATTGAAGAAACACGAGACTGAAAATAAAATAAAATATTACAGTAATTTAATACTGAACTACAAAGGGCACTTAAATGAATGCATAATGAGACTTTGGAGAATACAAGTGCATTTTCATACAACAATTGAAGATCTTAGCTGCCATTTGCTAAATAGCAAACTGTTAAGCCAAGGATTGATTGGATTAAAATTGTTATTGTCATGTACACTGAAATGTTCAGTCAGCTGAAGTGAGATGACAGCTGGCCGCCAGTGATTTTTAACAAGAAGAAACCACACTAAAAATAAATATGTCACGGCAATTTTCTATTTCATGTAAAGTACTTACCTTTCAGAGTCTGCTGTTCAGGGTAAATTGCTTTATAGATCATCAGTTAATAGAATCCCTACAATGTGGAAGCAGGCCTCTGAAGAGCAACCCCGCCCCTACCAGACCCAACCTCTCGTCTCTTTTTCCTGTAACCCTGCATTCCTACGGCTAATCCACCTACCTTGCATATCCCTGGACACTGTGGGAAATTTAACATGGCCAATCCAACTAACGTGCATATCTTCAGACTGTGTGAGGAAACTGGAACACTTGGAGGAAATCCACACAGACACGGGAGAATGTGCAAACTCCATACAGACAGTTGCCGAAGGGTGGAATCAAACCTGGGTCCCTGTCACTGTGAGGCAGCAGTGCTAACGCTATATATTACTGTTGTTCACCTCTTCCCAAGACCACTTGCCATTTCCTAGGTCATGATTACTCACAGAGCTAACTCCAAAAATTTCTTCATCTCTCTTACAAACACATCTAGACATTCATCATCTATCTATTCATAGAAAGAAAACCACCCCAGGCCGTAACAGCACTCCTGGCTCCTTCACTATTATTGATTGTGACCCTGAATTCCTTTTCTGATTAGTCACAAACTGCCATTGCAATGGATTGATTTGCTCAATTATCACTTGTCAATAACATTCGATGTCTTCCTCCAAAGGAAATCCAGTCAGTCTTCCATTGTAGTGATTTCCCTTAATACTAGAGCCCAAGTTTCATAAGCTTCATAAGATAGACATGATGAATTCCATTGCTATGCTTCTTGGCTATCATCAGCATCATCCAAAAGCATGGTGTTAGCTGCTTCTTGCATATTCAGGCTTTCACCTCTATATTTATGCCACTAACTCTGTGCTTTGCATTATCAATCTGCATGTCTAATATTAATTTTCTAGATGACATAACATTCCTTATTGATCACCATCAACAATTTTTTGAGTTCATTCCAAAGTCTTTCTGGCTCCAACTCCATTAGCGTTAATGCCCCTGAAAACCAATTGAATTTAAACGGCAACTCATTTCTTTTTAAAACTCCATTAGAATGGCACAGTGGTCCTTTTAAGCATATCACATGGAATGTAATGAGCAATTCACATCAAGCTATTTCAATTCACATGTGTAAACAGTCCTCGATTTGTGCAGGAACTGAACGATATACGACACTGGAAACTACCCTAATTTTTCAACTGCAATATACTCCCAAATGTAAATCTGCCAAGACTTGCATCAACATAAAGTCAAAATTGCCCTTTCAACATATACAAAATACACCCAGATGTTTACAATGTTGAGGCCTATGGATAATTATTCTTGAGGGCAAGATGAGACAGTGCAAGTGATTATTGCCAGTTGTGACAGGGTGCGAGGTCTGTTTGGGACCGTCTCACTCCTCGAGGATTCTTGCACAGTCTTACACTCTTTTGTAAAATGCATAATCCTAGAGCATGAATATCAATTTAGTAATTAGAGAAAAGATTTGCATGATATCTTACTGTTTCTGAAGTCATAGTCACAAAGGCACAATAGAAAACCATTCAGACCAGGACATTCAAGGTGAATTTCTTTCCAGAAATCCCAGTCAGCCTCATTCCCTCATTCTTACTCCATTCCTCAGCCCTCCAAATTTATTTTCTTCAAGTGCCTATCCGATCTCCTCTTGAAATCAATAGTCATCTTCACTTCCACCACATTTATAGGAAATGAGTTCCAGATCACTAACACTCACTGCAGGTAATTGTTCATTCTTACATCCCCATGCATCTCTTGCACAAAACCTTCAATCTGCCTCCCCTTGTCCTTGTCAATTAATGGGCATAGCTTTTTTTTTCACACAATGTCTAAATTTCTCTTAACCCTATTCACATTTATTAAATCTCCACTCAATTTCCTTCTTTCCATGGTTGTCCAGATTAAGCTTGCAGTTAAACTTGCTCATCCCTGTAACTATTGTGATAAGACCCTCCTATATCCTCATAGTCTTCCAAAGTCATTCCGAACTGAATGCAATCCTCTAGCCCAAGTCAGAGTTTTATAAGCATAAGATCCATGCCATTGTGCTCATGATCTCAATTGTCCTTTAGTAGATCAATGCCTCATAATTCTCTAATGCTTTCCTTCAGTGGAAAATTGCCCCCAGTTTCATCTTGAAATAAATGCTACAGGTTCACTGTTGTTGCAAGTAGCCATTTTCTTTTGCAACCTCTGTATTTTCTTTACGAGAGAAAGATAGTCAACACTACAGAGGTTTGAGTACATTCCTCGTGAAGTCCACTTTCCAACTGCAAAAGAAAACTCACTCAGATTTGTTATCATGCATAACATGCACCCTAACTTGCAGATCAAATATGTCTGTTAAATTAAATCTTTAGCTGGTCAGTTGCTCATTGACTTGATCATCCTTTAATAGCACAGTACACATTCCCTTCTTCCTTCTGGCAATCTGGTTGAGATTGCTGAATGAACCTTTCATCAGAAGGCAGGATGAAGTTCTATACACCAAGATGCCAAAGTGAGAACATGCATAAATATAATAACACCAAAACATAAAAAGAACGATAACTTCAGATTACTTACACACACAGCTGGGTTTCTTTGCTGACCATTGGTTATTCTTCTGGCAGGTGATCGTCTTTTGGCCAACAAGCTCAAAAGCAGGCAAACATTCAAATCTCAAAATGTCACCATGAAGGAAACTTTTACCCTCTCGCCTTCCATAAGCTGGTGTCCCAGGATCACTGCAGGTTCCCTGTTCTATCTCTGAAAATAGAATTTTAAAAAGGAGGAAATATGTTTATATAGAAGAACATATCACTGAGACAAATTTAACATCACCAACTTCTACAGATGCACAATTGAAAGCATTCCATCTGGGCACATAACGGCCTGGTATGGCAACTACTCTGCCCAGGGCTGTAAGAAACTACTGGTTGTATGCACAGCCCAGATCATTAAAGAAGCCAACTTTCCATCCATGGACTCAATTTACACGGCTTGCTGTTGCGGAAAGGCTGCCAACATCATCAAAGACCCATCGCACCCCGGTAATGACCTCCTACAACCTCTTCCATCAGGCAGAAGATGCAGAAGCCTGAATGCATGCAATGGCAGGTTCAGGAACAACTTCCTCCCGGCCTCAAATAATGCTGATCTTGCTAACGTTGATCTTGCTTAGCACACTCCCTGTGCAATGTAACCTGTATAACTCTAAATCTTTTTGATCTGTACATCCTTGCTGACTATGATCTGCCTGTACCGCTTATAAACAAAGCTTTACACCACACTTCAGTACATGTGACAATATATCAATCAATTGTTCAATTTGCATTTTCATTTGTTAGACCCAGACCACAAAATGGATATATGTTAATAGAAGTATTCTCCTTTACCCACAACATCCCAAAGTTGTCCACTTTTTCAATCTGTATCACAAGGCCACACTCATCATTTGTTAGGGTATAGTCTGTCTTTCCTCTCCCCTTCAAACAGAAAATCTCAGTGGGTTAGAAACAGTTGGTGAGATCATCAGGATAAGATTTTCAAATAGGTAGCTGTCCTCGTTATAGCAAGACACCTGGCCTTCTGAATATATTACAACTTAATTCACAAAGAACTGGCCTGATTTCAGTTCATGAATGGTTTAAGTGATGTGCAGAATATTGTCAATTACAACAAGAAATTTAACTTTAACTTTGCGCTTAACTGTACGAAGCCAAACCAGTTCTATCCGTAAGAAGAATAAGAGAAACCTGACATTGCATCTTGAATCTTTAGCATTCTGCAGAAATGACTAGTTATTAGAATTGGAGAGGGCAATCCTTCTCACTCAATTGAAAATACTGAGATCCAATAACATCTGGCTGGTTCTCACAACCAGCAGGACATGCTTATCCTAATTGATCCCAGGATGATGGTAAGAATCGAGCCAAAAAACTGATTCAGGGAAAATCCTTGCTATTCTAAAATTAGAACTTTGGATGTGTCAGGTTCTAAATCCACTTGGACTAACCTGTAACAAGTCATAGAATCGTACAACATTACATGAAGGAAACAAGTTACTGTCTCATCAAATGTTCACTGGTCCTAATTTTCACTAAAACCATTGGATTGAATCATCCTCTCTTGCTGATGAACTGTATTCATTAAAGTTGCTCTTTTACACAATTATTCAACTCTCCCACTTTACAGAAACAGTAATCCCTGCTTCTGCTTAATCCCTTCTGGCAAATAGTGGAGCAAACAGAACACTGGACTTCAAAAACAGATCCACTGATTTCAGGGAATCAAAACTAACTTAGTAAAAGACGGAAGTTGTGTTCAGTGGAAAGATTCAACTGTAGGCAATATGATGGCTTCAGAAAGAAACTCGAAAGAACTGTGGATGCTGTAAATCAGGAACAAAAACAAAGTTGCTGGAAAAGCTCAGCAGGTCTGGCAGCACCTGTGAAGGGAAAAACAGAGTTAATGTTTCGGGTCTGGTGACCCTTCCTCAGAACTGATGGTAGCGAGGAAAACGTTTTCCCAGCTACCATCAGTTCTGAGGAAGGGTCACTGGACCCGAAACTTTAACTCTGTTTTTCCTTCACAGATGCTGCCAGACATGATGGCTTCAGAATTTGGGTGGTCCAGCTGAGAAAAACAGATACCTGCACATCTGGCAGTGTGGTATACTGCATCCGCTGTACCCGTTGTGGCCTCCTCTACATTGGGGAAACCAAGCGGAGGCTCGGGGATCACTTTGCAGAACACCTACGCTCGGTTCGCAATAAACAACTGCACCTCCCAGTCGCGAACCATTTCAACTCCCCCTCCCATTCCTCAGACGACATGTCCATCCTGGGCCTCCTCAGTGCCACAACGATGCCACCCAAAGGTTGCAGGAACAGCAACTCATATTCCGCTTGGGAACCCTGCAGCCCAATGGTATCAATGTGGATTTCACAAGCTTCAAAATCTCCCCTCCCCCCACC